AGCTGACAGCAACAACAACCCGCGGACTACGACACCATCCAGGACATCGCAGGACACGACACTCGAATCACCCACGACGCCAACAGACACGGACTCTGCTTCACCAGGCCCCATCCCAATGCGTCGATTAACGGTGACCCGTCCTGCCACGCGCACTCACCAACCCACAGATGACCCTATCGACCCTTCATGCATCCCGAAATCTCTGGAAGTGAACATGAACGACAGGGGCCGCTCTGCCATGGCTGTCAGCCACCCCGACCCACTGGAGCTCACCGAGGATCAACTACTCGATCTCACCCACCAAGCGCAGCAACGATGCCCTACTGACGCGGCGGATTTTGCTCACCTGGATGAAGACCCCTTCGCCGAAGTCCGGGCGTATGCTTACGCCATGGGCACCTCGAGCAAAGGGTTCTTGGGGGAGACACACCAAGAGATCAAAACTCCGAGCACGTACACCGAAGCCATGAACTCACCACAACGCGAGCAGTGGAAGAGCGCTATCGACACCGAGATGGGTAATCTCGCCAAGCACGAAGTCTTTAAGAAAGTACGCATCAGCCTGGTACCGAAGGATGAGGACATCTTCGACACACGCTTCGTGTTCAAGATCAAGGCCGACAGCCGCTTCAAGGCCCGCTTAGTCGCGGGGGGACACCGCCAACGAGCAGGACGACACTTCGGAAGGAACTACGCTCCAGTAACCCGATTGGGTAGCATCCGCATGCTATTCGCCATCGCTTGCGAACACGGATGGGAGGTGTACCAATTGGACGTGGTAGCTGCATTCCTGAACGCGTACACCGACAGAGACGTCTACGTCAGGCCGGCGCCAGGCGACGAGGAGAGGGACCCTACGACAGGTGAAATGATGGTCTACAAACTGGAGAAAAGTCTGTACGGCCTGTCACAGTCCCCGTCACTGTGGAACGACGCCATCAATGACAGACTCATCATCTTCGGCTGGCAGCGCACTCACTCTGACCCCTGTGTCTACATCTTCGTAAGCGGGGACGAACTCACAATCCTCGCGATCTACGTCGATGACATCCTCATCACGGGCGGAAACAAGGAGATCGTAAACAGGAAAAAGAAGGAACTCATGGACAGCTTCGAAATGACAGACATGGGAGAGGTCAAGCGCGTAATCGGCATCGAAGTGCAGCGGGACTACGAACATGGCACACTAGCCATATCGCAAGGACCCTACGCGAGAGATATCCTACAGCGATATGGAATGGAACAGGCAAACCCGGTCAGCACCCCCGGGTATGGAGCAGAACTATCAACCGAGCAGCCACAAGACCAACTACTCGGACCCGAGGACAAGCAGAGATTCCAGGCCATCACCGGGAGTCTCCTGTACCTTGCCCAATGCACCCGCTACGATCTGTCATACGCAGTGCACCAACTGACACGGGCATGCGCAAACCCAGCACAGGTCCACATGGCTGCGGCCAAGCACCTACTACGGTACCTACGCGGAACGCCGGACCTGCCGATCGTGTACAAGAAGGGGCAGTTCAGACTCTCGTGCTTCACTGACTCGTCATTTGGAGCCAACCCAGACAACGGCAGGTCTACCACCGGATACCTGTTCTTCCTAGGAGGGGGACTGATCAGCTACGGAGCCAAGGCACAGACTCTCGCAGCACAGAACACCGTGGAGGCCGAACTTCAAGCGCTGAGCTTCAGTGCTCGCGAGGCAGTCTACATCTCCAACTTCATGACGGAAATCGGATTCAAGACCTTTCGATCGGTACCCATCAACAGCGACAGCACCGGAGCATTGACTGTGGCCAGCAACGCGATGTTCAGCTCTAGAACCAAGCACATCGCGCTCCGGTTCTTCTTCCTCAGGGAACTCACGAAGGGGCACCGGATCACTCTTCACCACCAACCTAGTGCCACGATGTTGGCGGACATCGCGACGAAACATCTCCCGAAGCAGCGATTCGCCACCATCATGCAACTCATCAAGGACTACAAGTGCTAGGAGATATTAAGCACAAGATCGCATAGTATGGTTGAATGTTTTGGACGCGTGTATTGCTCACAGGATGGATTCAGTCATGTGGAGGTCGATATTCTTTGATATGGATTGGGAATCGAGGGGTCGCAAGAATGGCAGCGAAGTGAAGGTTGTTTGGAACATCGGCTACTTGCCTAATCGAGGGACCGTGTCGAGGAAAACTGTTACAACGTAGTCAGGCACAGTTTACCATAGGTGCGACTGCGGCAACTAGCCTTCCGTAGACATAATACAGAAAGAAGAGATGGTACTCAGCAGAGAACATGAGCACAGAGTTGTAGCGGAGATAATTTGGCAGGCGAGACTGTAGTTGTTTTATTGTTCCGAACCCCGAAATTCCGGTACTCGGGCCATTACTCCGGAGACCCTCGGAACCTGCTGTGTTTTTGCTGCTTGTTTTTTGTTTTTGTTTTGTTGTTGAGATGAGACACAAGCGCGCCTTCGCCCCTTGTGCTCACTCTCATCTAGCACCCATCAAAGCCTGACCAGGGAGTCAGTTGATAAGAAAATCTATCTACATTTCTCTTTCCAGAGCTCGCTCGGGCCTACCGATCTCACAGCAGTGTAGACCAACCTCTGTGATAGAGCGGTGACAGCAGTGTAACCTCTGTGGTAGATAACAAAGTCTACGAGCTACAGCAGCACCGCCACCTCCGCTGCTGCAGGACGCCACATTCTGTGAGTGTACGGGGCTGATTCTTGCCGTAGCGGCACGCAAAATACCGAAAATATACCCATTTTTGAACAACTACTTTTTGACCGTAATCCTTTCGGTGTGATTTCTTTTTTCGTGGTCGGCTTTTGACCGGAGCAACCCGTTTTTGCCCCAAACCTATTATTTGTATTCGTTTTCGATGCACATATCACGCCGTACGGGCAAACGGAGGAAAATCCCGCCCCCCACATCTGCGTCAATAACCCGGGGATATCCAATTTTCATCCCCTCCCTGGTGGCACCGAAAAAAAAAACGAAACTTGATTTTTCTTCACGACCATTGTGTTGGGCGCATGTGTGCCAATTCTTGGGTCTTGAAACGGTTTCAAACTCCCGCAATCAACCAATCAATCGTCAAAATGGTTGTTAGTACCCCCCGGGCCGTTTTACCCTCAAGACTTCAACTTCAACTTGGGCAAACGGAAACAGTTGTGCCTTGTCACTGACGACGGTTTTTTTTTTTTTGTGCAGATAGGTGGTGGTGTTCCCTATCGTCCGATACCTTAATATCTTCGTAGTTGGTTTTACTGTCGAAGAATGAGTTTTTGGCGCGGGAGGTGGCTTAGGTGGTTGTGAATACCCGCCGCTACTCTACGTCGTCATAAACATCCATCCATCCAAGCTGTGAGCGCTACTGTTACCTCCCGCGCTGACAAAGATGCCAGCCACCAAAAGGGAAGAGAAAATACAAAAACCGTGAGCTACTCTCTGTTGTTCTTACCTGCGCAAGAATAGTAAAAGGTTTCGGGACGTAGATGCGGTCTTGTGGTTGCTGTTGTTGCAGACTAGGTGTGTGAAGTGCGGAGGTTGAGTGTGTGGCAGAAAAATCGCGTTCGATCTTGTCTCCCCTGGCCAATACCCTTCTTTTGTTATTACCGATCAATGCCGCAGGTAGGTAGGTGTCGATTTCGTATGGGTGGAAGGTTTTCCGTTTCTCTAGAGCGACTTCTTCAAATCTCATCTGGCTCAAAAATCAGGTGTGTTTCATCACTCGAACGCTGCGTGCGTCGTACCTATTATGTAGGCATTCGAAGAAGAGGAACGATCGACGCAAAACTATTGGGTTTTTTTTTCGTCCTAGTCTACTTATTATGGCGACAGGATCCCCATTTTTCGTGGTGAGACGTGACGCCGCGAATGCCCAGGAAGAAGGTAGATCACCGTTTGCGAACATGTACACACAGCACAGGCATTTTTCATTTTTTTCCCAGATCCATCCGAATCTTCGAACTCAGCAGCGCGGAGATAATCCCTACCAGTACAGAAAAAACTGGCTCTCGGAACACATACATCTCTCCGTTGACTGCTGGACCTCTCTTTGCTTTGGGGAGGAAGACGACGGTGTGTGTGTGTGCAGAACATATTGCTGTTGCTGTAGTCTCACGGTCTTAGCTATGATACAAGCCACATTTACAGACAGGTTCATACACCACGTTGTGTGCCTAGCTTCACCGCTAGTTTCAACGATTAGTCTACTTGTAGACCATGTACAATTTCAAAGGATGCCCACTGCGGCCACGGCTGTCATATTCATGCGATCTACGTCATCAGTACAAGCATGATTATTTGTCAATATCTCCCGGGACTAATCACATCAACAAAGTGGTGCAGCATGGGGGGAGGGCGCTGGTTTCAAATAGCACCGCCCACGGCTGTAGCTACACTTACAGTTGGTTTTCTCCCTCTACAACGTGCGCGCCGTTTTCGGAAAGCAAAAGGAAAGGCCCAGCGCAACAGGGGGACGAAACGGCAACTTCTTGATTGTGACATATCATTATCGGAACCGTGGTCAGCTAAACGTGTTCCCAATCTCGTGATTATTTTTTTTAACGGTACAGCAGTGCGGCGAGAGGTGGCTGAACCAACGGTGCCGCGTACGAACTGTTCGCGAAACACTCGAGAAAAATAATGGGCAACTGTTGAGTTGAACAACTCTGGCTACAGCTTACGGGACAATACGTCCGGATCTCAATAGAGCCGGCAAACGCCGGGGAGTCTATGCCTGCATTCGCGTCGGTGACTACGTACACAACCTCGTTTGTAGCTTCCATTGGGTGCGCATGACAAGACGCAGGAGGGGCGCAGAGTGAAGAGAGTGCCCGACCAAGGCTTATGCGTTCTTCGGGGCACCGAAACGCATCCAAAAGCTACCTGTAGTACGCCCCAACGGAACACGGCGCAAAACCCAGTCTGCACACAATGAATTCGGTTGATATGTAGCCACACGCATGCACGCATTCACTTGCACAGAAAATATACGCTGTCCGACGGACCTGACGATTGACAGTCAGGCCTTCGACTCGGAGAAAACAATCGCAGGTGTACAATATGACCAGGTACAGCCAAATCGATCACACGCTGCTGTTCGTAGACCTCACCAACAAAATAGTTATTGCGAGAAACTTGCCCAGAGTTTTAGCCAAGCTCAAAGCACGTGCGCAGGATCAAAGGTGGAACACAGAAAAAAATTCGAGTGGTGAACAAAGCAACAAAATTCGCCAATAGGAAAGAGCCCTGACACCGTCACCATAACACCACACCGATGCAAGGTTGCGTTTCCCTTGTGCATGTATAGGTACCCCGGACTTCCACATCACGGCCATTGCGCAATTTGCTTGGCAGCGTTATTTCCCTTTTCATCGCGGACGAGGGCGCCAGCGTGACGCCTCCAGCCCGGAATGCAGCACCCCGATCAGGTTTTGGTAGCACGCCAGGAGAAGAACTACTGCCCCCGCGTCGGCTGCGTTCCCGCCGTTTCGTACGCCGCCGCCTCTCTCCTGACTACCCTCACCGCCAACGGGAATTATAGCGTTCGGTTTCTCTTCGGCCTGCCGTCCGTCCGCTGCCGAGGGGGGCTGGTAGTGCAAGGGGGTCGGGGATGGACGTCTCTGTTGCTGGGTTGTGGCTGGGACTCAAACCTTGATTTAGAGCCGGTCCTTCCGTATTCTGGCCTTAAAGCGTTCACCATGAACATTGAATTCCCTTCGACGGTCGTCGTAGGGGTGCTTCCGGTTCTTTCGCTTAGTTCACGCAATTGGGCCAGGGCAACACGACGTATAACTCTAGAATTACCTGTCGGCATCAAATACGCTGGTGCGCGAAGATGAAACGGAAAACAGCACCGCGACTCTGAGCTCCGTAATCAACGTAATACGTCTCATCACACACCGTCCCTGTTCCCTTAGTCACCTTCTATCCCTTTTTCCCGTCATTCTCCGACAGCCTGTCCCATAAGCCTCGTCCAAACAAACACGCCCAAACACGCCCAAACAGACACGACAAATTTTCGAAACAAGACATCCTGGAAAGCAAAACAGAGTTGAGTCCTGGAGCAACTCACCGGCAACCATCTCCGCGCAGTTTCCTCTCCCATTGCAGACGTCTCCAGTCCCTTCAACAAAACCCCCCGGTCGCCGCCGTCCCCACCTTCCCCCAAGCTTTCCGCCTCGATTTCCAAGGGTAGCAGTAGCAATCTCCGAAACAAACCCCACCGTGTTCCGGTCCAGACCTGTCGGGATCAGGTGCTATTTGTGTCTGTTCTCTGGTGCCGGTCCATACCATTCCTTGCATGTTTGACATATCAGGCACCGGGATATCACTGGAGTTAGTTAACACACGGACGTTCGCGCTTTTGTCCTACCTTACCCCTCCCTGCGGTTCCTGCCGCCGCTTCTTAATGCGAGAAGGGTTTAGCTATCCTTTTCCGTCTTAATCGTGGATACGCGCGAAATTTTGCCGCCTTCCATTGCAGATTTTTTTGCGCTGATTCAACTCGAAGGAGACTTCGAACCCACGATCTACCGCATTGGACAAAGGGGGCTACCTACGGTCTACTACCTCAAGTAGCCAAAAGACCAACAGCGGGATGGAGAGACAGAAAAGAAAGAGCCCCCTGCTTACGGAGAAGCGCGCATGCATGACCCACGGAATAAGGCTGACGCGACAGCATAAGTGCTGTCCACCGACGACATTTTCGCCTCTAAGAAGGTCCCGAAAACCGACCAAATCAGACATGCACGAGGAGCTAGCTACGTGAGAAATAAGAAAATCGTCAAGACCTCAGGGGGGCATATATCATATAGATGCGATCCGATACGGTGATGGGCGACATGTGCACACGCGCCGGTTGCACACACCAGAGACTGGCATCGCGCAAAATGACGCAAGTGAACACACATGTCGGGTGGCTCCCCTCTTTTCCCATACGATCGGCCTTTCTTCTCACGCCCATACGCAGCTCCATGCCAACACCGGTGGCAGCAGCGTCGCAAAACAAGGCTGTGTTTGCCACCAACCAGGCTTTAGCCAAATACACACAAGCCCTCAGACCACGAGCAACGAAAACTGCGCCGCAACTGTCACAATGAGGTCGCCGCAAGGACGTTGCACCAGCTCGACCTCCGCACATGATTCTTCAAGAGATGAACCACGCGCAAGAGACCCCCCCCCCCCCCCCCC